AGTTTGTCCCTTCCACCGAAAAACGCTTCACCCTGCCGGGACGAAATTTCGTAGGTGCTCAATCCTTCTTAATATAATACACTGTGGAGATGTAGATAATTGTGTATTTTTTGGCTGTTTGGTTGTTTTCAAAGAGAAACCAATCAGAGAACAGGGTGCCAAGTTTACGGGTTTGTCGAACGTGTTGGTCAGGCGCGATGTGCCATGAAGCCGAGTCCAATAACAGCCCAATCATCAGTACTCTGTTAATGTATAAATGAAATTTTCAAAGTCAAATGAGTCTGAAAAATTCGCCACGTACATTCGTGTGTAGGACACATGAACTGAACAGCTGGGAAGAAGCGTACAACTTAGACGGTGGATGTTCGGATTAACCCATATGGTTTTTCACAGGCCCGAGGCACTGTTGATGATCTTGGCCGTGGGTTTCAATCCTTGAGAGATCGTTAATTCCCCACTAGTTGAATCCATTTAAATGCGATGTAAATGTTTCTGATAACCGTCAAAGAGCAGTGGACAACTGTTCCGTTCTGTTTGGGACTCGTCAACAGTGCGTACAAGACGAAACAGTTGTCCAGTGCTCTTTGTAGCTTATCACAAACACTTTGATCACATTTAAAATGTACAACTGTTTCAATCCTGTTGGGCCGCATCAACAACGAGGTTCGATTCTCTTGGTAGTGTAAACGGCTTCGCGCTGTCAATTAGATCCCACCAATTAGTCACAGGTGGTGTACATTGCTTACTGGCTTTCAAACGCTTTGTACACGACTAAATTCATCAAATCCAGTCCTCCACTGGCTTCCGATACATGTAAAACACAGTCAACTGTTCATAGGAATAACCGTATCAAGGGTAAAATTGATCATTGGTGTTGGATTACAAATATTCGCATCTCCCGTTGATCCAGTGCGGATTCAGAGTTGCACAGTACTCATTATCTAGCGTTAGTCGTGGCCAAATTTTTCAGTTCTACTCTTGCCGTGTGTCACACAAAGTAGTCCTTATAGAACAGCCAAAGATTGCGGTCTATGTNAAGGAATTGTCTGCATTTTGCCGATTATGGTGTGGTTATAATAAATAGCATCAAAATCCCATGTTGGGTGAATTGTTTCTTGTGTTATCATTGACAGATCCTCGTAGGACTGTTCAAAAATTTGTTATACTGATATATAGTACTTAAAACCTACTATTGTGATGGTATAAAAATGCACATGTCTCACTAAACTTATATGTGAATAGTGATACGGGATAAATGGTAATGATTTGAACTCACCATCCTTTGGAATTCATAATAACGCACAACTCTCAGTTCATTCGGTCAACTGTACACTCGGGAAGCAGTTAACTTGTTCTTCCTAGAGCCCAACACTAGTACACATCACCATCCCAACCGGGTAGCCAGTCTAAACCACTATCAACTAAGTAACGCGACCAATCCAAACCAACTTTCAGTAAGGTAGGACTTAAAAATCGACCAGGTAGATTTTTGGCAAGGTTGTTCGCACCTGCACTGAATTCCAGATTTGGTAGGAGGCTTTAATTTGGTGATCACAGATAGTCATCTGTCTCCTTTTGTTGCTGACAGACAAGAAATGGCTGTCTATCATCGAAGGTTATATTTGAATAAACATTAATTGTCGATTCCGGTCTGCCTCGATGTGAGCGGTGGACTAATTGGTAACACACACTTTCCATGCGATGGGTTCTCAGTTCGAGTCCCGGACGGGAAGATGAATATGCACTGTTGATGAACTCTAATCTGAGCGAAAATCAAATCTATGGTGCATTTGGGGTGCGAAATTGAGCTGAGAGTGGTGCTGATAATATTGCACCAAATCTGTGCTGTTAAAATTTAGCTTATGTTGCCTGCTATCGTTTTTATTGCTAGCAAATGACACGTCGACCGCACAAATATATTCAATCAATATTTAAACCACAATCTTTCCCAGTGTCCTTGTAGGGTATTGTCCCAGTGAATCTCTTCTCTTATACGAGCTTTGTTCGTTTTAGCACTTATCAAAGGGACCAATCGAAAAGAATGTGTGCAGTTGTTTTGCAAAAACAACTCGCTGAATGGAAAGCAGCTACCTCAACTGNAACTGAGAGATATGGGCGACGGTCGTGGGAGTAGCAAGCGACATTTTTTCAGGAGTGTCTCCAAACGGCGACAAAGTTTCAGTTATCGAAACTATTAGTAAGGCAGCGTGCCCAAGGCACCTTGGACTTGTTGTACAAATTCATTTCGCAGGATAAAAGTTACGAGTTTCAATAGTTTTTGATCGAACCGGAGAACATTGAGGAATCTGATATTCTTTTTTCCATTTTCCGCCGGATCACATTGACTCTCGAATTGCCAGGGGAGAGGAGTCAATGAAATTCGAACCATTTTATGAGACCTCGAATTCATTACTTGGGTAATAGTTAATTCTGGGATCAATTTGTATGAATAGTCAACTCCGGGCTAATTGATCCATCCATGTACCTCTATCGGCTTTGTCGATCTGGCTTTGTTGCTCAAGCGAAGTGTATCGCTGTTCCGAAGCGTAAATAGAGTCTTTGACTGAATTTTATCTCATTGAAGCACCGGATCGTATGGACGGGGGGGGGGTATGGTTTATAAAAAAGAGTAGCGAAATTTGCTCTGAATGACTTCTTTTCGATCCAGCCAAACTGGATGAGATAAGGCGTTTGAAACGTGATTGTACGAGGGGGTGGGTGGGTGGAATTCCATGGTGAGATGGAATCTGTGCTCGGGATTTTCGAAAGCCACTCCACTGAATAACTTGATCAATCCTTGTATTACGTTTTAGACCATTAAATCAGCTACGTTTGCACGACAGGTGTGGTACACTTTAGCTGGATCAAATATCCTTCTTTTTTTGTGGGGAGGGAGGGGGTCGAGAAAAGATGAACTCGCCTCGTTTCTCCCCGCAATGTGAATGTTTATTCCCATTTCATAGTACAGAAGGTAACCCCCTTGACACAAATTTGTGAACACCTTGCGGTAAAGCAATACGGTCTTCTTTGTCAGTTCTGCTTTCCCAGGGGTACTGAAAAAACAGAGCAAGTTAAAAACCGAATGGACGTCCTCATTTTTATGCCATTGTTAGTTCGAATATGCATTTGGTTTACCCTTTTAAACTCATTCTGATCTGATAAGAACCAATGAAAAAGTCATAGGAGAATGATATATATTATTCAGTATAAATAATGAACAGGTTTTACTGCTCAAATAAATAAATAGTATAAAATACGTGATGCATTTATTCAACATTTATTCAACCACCTTTTAGTACCACTAAACCCGGGTATATCGTTCCAGAACCTTGAAATTAAGTCAGTCATCTATTCGAAGGATTACATTTATCTATCAAACGCCGTCAAATCATCTGGAGAAAAACTGCCTTGGGATCGTGGGTCAGGAAAACTAGCAAACAAAACGGGTGACTTAATATAGCGCTTTTTCGTGCTCCCTACCTTCCGTGCAGGCGAATTTAGGAATGAGGCCCCTGGTGTGCTCACTTGTTCCACTTGTCGTTTCATCATCAATGACACGAGAATGGATCAAGTTGAACAGTTCCGTTTATCTGTTCAGATTCATATTTCGACTACTCTGGATTTGGAATCGGCGTTGACTAGCAATGGAATTTTGATTCAGTTCTCGTGTTGCCAGTAGAGAGCAGAACGCTAGCTGTTCGGATTAGGTGCGGAGTTCTTTGTGTGTGTGTGTGCGTGTGTGTGTGCACACAGCGTGCACACCGTGATGCTTCTCCGCTGAGGTGGCCTGACAATTATCCCGATCAATC